AATGAATTTGCATCCCGGAGTGAAATTGCATCGCCTGAGAGGACGACTCTTATTTTCCGTCCTCGTGGTTGGTCGCTCTTGTTCTCTCCCTTTCTGCAACAGGCCCGGCCTCCCTCCGGGATTCCCTCCTGGATTTCCTCCGGGAGGCAGGAGGGCCTGGGCTTGCTCTGTGGGTGAGAGAGAAGCACTCCTGCTGCCAAATTAGCCATCACTCAACGGTCCCACCCACCCAGTCGGGGGGGGAGGGGAAGGCTGGCATAAGGGGGGAAAGAATGGGCACCGTCTACAAGTAGAGGAAATCATTTGCGCGCCATCTCAAATACAGTCGTTCACATCATCATGCGTTGCTCCGGCGAGTTGACGATGCATGGTGTTTGAATGACATACGGCATGTTATGCGGCAGGGTGGGATGCGCTTTCGAGTAAATCGCTTCGATGTGATTTACTGATCCGTGGCGGACTGTGCAGGTAGAGTCTCCGGGGGTAATTCTCTGGCAGGCGTCGGTGGCAGTTGCAGCACTTTCTCTGCAAACTCGCGGAAGTTAGGGCGTACTCGCAGTTGGACCTTTTCGACTGAGCTCTGGACGTAATTGCAGTCAAATACATCTAGATCAGGCTGTAATTCCGGTCGGATGCATCCAGAAAAGTCCCAGTGCGGGTATGCACTTAGACGCAGCGGCAATTCTGGGGCTTAAACAAGCGAGAGCATGGAAATATCTTATTAGGGCTGTGACACTAAGCATGTTTAGTGTTTGAGGGGAGATTCTACCAAAGCAGCTGGTGCTGTAGCAGTTCCGTATCCTGCCGACTCGCTGACAGAGTGCAGTTATCTGACATTGTGCCGTGTCATTGACGGGAGCGAATGAAAGCGAATGAATGCATCTGGTCCATAAGTTAGTTCTTCTCCGGATTTTGCTGCTCAGAAGGTTGAACAGGGGGGGGCCATGGAACGTGTACGCCGGCAGTCGGACGAAGTGTGTACGCGAGAGTTGTGCTTGCACACACACACACACACACACACACACACACACCTCCTAGCCATTTCCTGTTTCTCAGGGTGTCTACCATTACTTCTTGTAGGCATTTTCTCCTTTGTTTAAAGGTTGAAGAAGGGGGGGGGGGGGGGGGGGGGGGAGGGGGGAGAGGAGGGCGGGATGTGTACGCAAGAATGAAGAGGAGGTGAGGTGGGTGGAGGGGGGAGATGTGTACATGTACGCAGGCAGTCGAAAGAACTGTGTAGGCGGGAGTTATGCTTGCACACACACTTCCTGGCCATTTCAGGTTTCTGAGGGCTTCTGGAATATATATACATATATACTGGCTTTACTCGTCCTGTCTCTACTCTTAGCCGTCGTTATCACTTGTTAGATATTTTGAAATTTTCTCCTTTATGTAGACAATAAAGTACTGCAAGTTCTCGTCAACGTATCTCATTGATTTTTACTATTTAATGTTTCTTGTTACATATATAATCATATAGATATATAACCCTCCATACTTTGTTTGGCAATTTACGGATTCTTTGTCAGCTAAAGTACAGAATTTATCGATCGGATATCAATCATTTATGCATTCGATAATTTGCGCAGGATTCGTTATCTGCTACGGATGAGAGAGAGAGAGAGAGAGAGAGAGAGAGAGAGAGAGAGAGAGAGAGAG